CCATTGCAAAAGGTTCTAGTTAAGGATAAATCGGGTCTTTAAATTTCACCTGTGACAGCCAATTGGGCTTCCTGTGGTAGGATGTGGCAGGTGTTCTTTTCATGTAATTTGGGCTTGAACGAACATGAGAATGGAATTTTTAAAGAGAAATTGGTGATTTTAAGTAATTACTAAGCTATTTACGTTAGTTTAACAAACATACTATCTGGTACCCAGTCTCCTCTCTGTAAGTGCGGCCACGTTTATTGTCATTTCCAAGACTGGCCAGTGAAAATTACATACAGGCCGCTTCCTGTTACATATCCATTTAAAAGTTAGATCTTAAAGTCATCTTTCAAAATTGCGATCGTTATAATCTAACTTTTAGGTCTCAACGGAATCATATCCTAAACAATAGAACCCAATCTCCACTCGGTCATCTTCCAAGTACACACTGCTGATTCCCAGGGAGTGCGAAAATGTGACATGAACCTTAATGGACAAAGTGCTAGCTTTGCACAATAAAAATGATATCTTTTTTTTTTGCATTGGTTGACTGTTCTGCTGATAATAAACGACTGTTCAGGAATTATCTACAGTGTTCACACATTTACAATTACAAAGTGGTGTGCACTCCAACGACGCTTTGGAACACTTGCATCTCTTGCATACTCCTTTGCAAGTACACCGAATGAGCTCTCTGCATGCTTTTGATACTTCAGGGATGCTTATCCACTTCGGAACCCATGCACCGTCCTCTTTTTTCCAGGAGAACTCTTCAGGGGATGGTACTATCTGCTGTGAGTCAACACTGGTTGTCCAGATTCCAGCTTGGTAGATTGAGCGGTTGACATGTTGTAGAAGGGCATCCTTTCGAGAATAATAGAATAAAATGTTTTGTTTTAAAAATGATAAAAATTCAAAGGTGAAAACCAAAACGGAAACTCTACAAAGAAATTGTCATGTAAACCTGCGTTGGTGGAAGCCTGTCCATGTCTCTGTTGTTCTTACAGAAGAGTTCCATTCTTGTCTTGTTTATGGAATTTAAAGGGCTCAACTTGTCAAACAGGATGACTATAAACCTTTCAATGCGCTGGAAATGGTCAGAATCAACCGTTAGCTTGTGGAATGAGTTATTGGCAAGGAACTCGAAGGTCTGCGTTATGGCAGGATACATTTCCCATGCCTGCCAGGCGGACCTCTTGCCCTTTCCATAGAACGTGGAGGTGGTGTCACTGCCAGTCAACGCGTGGAAGACAGGTAAAGATCGTGAGCGGGCGTCCCCTAGTCCAGCACAGATAGTGTTGATGCTTATGAATGAGAAATTGCGTCCTGTTCCAAACCCCACCCACAGGTCCAGGTCAGGCTGGATTGCTCTGAGATGCTGAAACGTTCCTATCAAAATAACAAGGACATCCGTATCAACGGTTCTGACAAGTACTGATTTCGCCTCGTTATCTTGAATAGCATATAGGATATGGACGACGATCCTTGTGTCTGCCTCCTCATGGTTGCATTCAGGCATGGATCTGTCTGAGCCAATGGACATCACAGAAGCCCCTAAAGGACAAAATCAAAATGACTGTAAATCATTTCAAATAAAGATGATTTTAATCCTATATAAAAATGAAATGATAAGAATATCAAAATTCTGAAAACCTGAAGTAATGTAGACCGTCTTGTTTTCCGGCCAGTTGTATTCAGCAACCTTATTCGTCAGAAACGCAAACAATTCTTCTTTGTTTACTGAGTCACGCAGGAACTGCATCCAGTTTGGAGGGACCTTGGTGGCACCAGAAACCTTACGGCGAATGCCCTTTCCCCTCTTTTCACGTGTCGAATCTTTTAGGCTACCACATACATAGGTGTCCCAAACGACATCTACTCTTCTGCTACTCTGATTGCAGATGTGAGGAATAAAGACGTTCTCTGCATAGTCATCGAAGGTGATCACCCCTGTCACAGGAAGACAATGAACAATTACAGCACCGTCACATATCTTGCAGTCGAACTCTGTTGGAGGCTCGGGCTGTCGAGGCTGCACGATGCACTTAACTAGCTCGGACTTGTTACTTGGGAGACGAAGATTTCCAAATTCAGACAATGATGGAGGAAATGACTGTACCTCGTGGCAAAAGAATTCTCCAAGGTCTGCATCGCGGTTCTGCATAGCAATGTACAGTTGAGCAAATAGGGAGACGTTGTTCTGTAGTGCTTTGATTGTCTTCGACTGCTTCGATTTGGTACGCGAAGGTTGTTTGCTGAAAAGGGGAAGTTTGTTTTTCTTGATAGAACTGCTAATTGAGATTGTCCTATCCTTGATGACTGCCTTCACATACTCCTGGTACTGTGTTTTACCGAGCTGCCTAAGGTTAATCACTGACTCGGCAACAGCGTCATCCATGCAATCTCTGCTGTCCATGGTGACAAGCTCTGGGAAGTCATCAAGGAAAGGATTCCCCATTCTCTTTATCACATCTGCCAAATTGTTCACTTGTTGCTTAAAAGTCTTTTGTGCACTTAGTCCCATTTCATGATTTGTACGGTCAGTAGACTCCTCACTGTTTAATAGATATTGCTCCTCAAATTGATGCAAAATTCTTGTTGTCTCAGGGCCTGAAAGCATCCATCGTCTGGAAAAGGAACAAAATAAAACTTAATTCAGTATTACCAGTCTTATTTATAAATGGTCTCTCATTTTACCGTGGTGTGTTTCCATACATTTTTTCCAGCTGTGTTTATACTGCAATCCGTAAATATAACTCTTCGATGCTTTTTTATGTAAAGACCTTTTTTAAAAATTTTTGGTAATACAGTATGAGGTGTATGATTTTCATTATTAGATTTCTATACTCACCTAAAGGCTACAGGGTTCTCTGTAAGACCAACTGCACCACCTGCACTCTTGATCACCTTGTTCTCCTGCTCATGGGCCTGATCAAAGGGGATAGCGGAAAATCTGTTCCCTGTCTTAGACAAAACCCAGTGGCCTTGCCTCTGGAACTCCCGTGCAATGCTCAGTGGAAGAGACTTCATATCACGTATATGGATAGGTGTCCAACGTGCATAGTTTACGTGATCAAGAGCAAAGAATAAAGGTACAAGATCTTCCAGGGCCTCGACATACAAATTGAAGTTATGTTGACGCTGTGCACGTACAACTAGTAACACAAGTGTCTCGTACTCTATGATGGAGTCCCAGAAAAGAAACGTCGGGCTTCTCCTCTTCCTCACTTCCTCCCATGTAGACATTGATGTCTCATCTAAGCACTGGGAAAATGCCTCTCTCTTTAGTTTGTTCAGAGCCAGAGCGGTAACTTGATGGGCATGCCTGAAAAAAAAAATCATATTGCCGTTCCCAAATAGCTGTAATTGTGACTAAAACAAGGGGGTTTTTCTCAGCAGCTCCCTAATTTTAGGCACAATTAAAAACAAGTTTCGTTTGGTACAAAACACCAGACTCCACTAAACTTTTCACTCGCAGAAAAATTAAATAATAGCTTAATGATTAAGCTTTACTGATATCACTCATTCTTATGACCACCTGGTGAGTGTTCACAGTCACTATTATTGTTCTCACTTCGCCCTACCTTGTTCTTGTTAAATGCGTTGCTTTAAGGAAGGAATCCGCCACACCAAATGAGGCGACTTCAGCTTCACTAAGAGCGGTAGTCCAGCCTGATTTATCCAGCAAATCACCAACCGTACTCCATAGTGCCATTTCAATGTGCAGACCACCTAGCATGACGACATACGCTTGCTCTCCATGGGAGACAGGCCACTTCCACTGAACCAACTTCGCCAAAGCAAAAAGGGGCTGGTCAACGGTGATGACAGGAACCTGATTTGGGTTGAGAAAGGTTATAGCTTGCCGCAAGACATCCATACCATGCTTCACCATCGCTGGGGTAGCTGCCTTCTCATAGAACAGGGGAAGTAGCGCGGTCAAGGCAGGTGGGTGCTCTTCAGTCTGGGTTGAGGCGTGATATGCAGCCCAAGTCACTGTATCACTAGAAGAAATGGATACTTCCTCCAATTTTCGTAGAGAATGCTCCACCCAAGTTACTTCCGTTTAGTCCTCTTTTTTCCAGGAGAACTCTTCAGGGGATGGTACTATCTGCTGTGAGTCAACACTGGTTGTCCAGATTCCAGCTTGGTAGATTGAGCGGTTGACATGTTGTAGAAGGGCATCCTTTCGAGAATAATAGAATAAAATGTTTTGTTTTAAAAATGATAAAAATTCAAAGGTGAAAACCAAAACGGAAACTCTACAAAGAAATTGTCATGTAAACCTGCGTTGGTGGAAGCCTGTCCATGTCTCTGTTGTTCTTACAGAAGAGTTCCATTCTTGTCTTGTTTATGGAATTTAAAGGGCTCAACTTGTCAAACAGGATGACTATAAACCTTTCAATGCGCTGGAAATGGTCAGAATCAACCGTTAGCTTGTGGAATGAGTTATTGGCAAGGAACTCGAAGGTCTGCGTTATGGCAGGATACATTTCCCATGCCTGCCAGGCGGACCTCTTGCCCTTTCCATAGAACGTGGAGGTGGTGTCACTGCCAGTCAACGCGTGGAAGACAGGTAAAGATCGTGAGCGGGCGTCCCCTAGTCCAGCACAGATAGTGTTGATGCTTATGAATGAGAAATTGCGTCCTGTTCCAAACCCCACCCACAGGTCCAGGTCAGGCTGGATTGCTCTGAGATGCTGAAACGTTCCTATCAAAATAACAAGGACATCCGTATCAACGGTTCTGACAAGTACTGATTTCGCCTCGTTATCTTGAATAGCATATAGGATATGGACGACGATCCTTGTGTCTGCCTCCTCATGGTTGCATTCAGGCATGGATCTGTCTGAGCCAATGGACATCACAGAAGCCCCTAAAGGACAAAATCAAAATGACTGTAAATCATTTCAAATAAAGATGATTTTAATCCTATATAAAAATGAAATGATAAGAATATCAAAATTCTGAAAACCTGAAGTAATGTAGACCGTCTTGTTTTCCGGCCAGTTGTATTCAGCAACCTTATTCGTCAGAAACGCAAACAATTCTTCTTTGTTTACTGAGTCACGCAGGAACTGCATCCAGTTTGGAGGGACCTTGGTGGCACCAGAAACCTTACGGCGAATGCCCTTTCCCCTCTTTTCACGTGTCGAATCTTTTAGGCTACCACATACATAGGTGTCCCAAACGACATCTACTCTTCTGCTACTCTGATTGCAGATGTGAGGAATAAAGACGTTCTCTGCATAGTCATCGAAGGTGATCACCCCTGTCACAGGAAGACAATGAACAATTACAGCACCGTCACATATCTTGCAGTCGAACTCTGTTGGAGGCTCGGGCTGTCGAGGCTGCACGATGCACTTAACTAGCTCGGACTTGTTACTTGGGAGACGAAGATTTCCAAATTCAGACAATGATGGAGGAAATGACTGTACCTCGTGGCAAAAGAATTCTCCAAGGTCTGCATCGCGGTTCTGCATAGCAATGTACAGTTGAGCAAATAGGGAGACGTTGTTCTGTAGTGCTTTGATTGTCTTCGACTGCTTCGATTTGGTACGCGAAGGTTGTTTGCTGAAAAGGGGAAGTTTGTTTTTCTTGATAGAACTGCTAATTGAGATTGTCCTATCCTTGATGACTGCCTTCACATACTCCTGGTACTGTGTTTTACCGAGCTGCCTAAGGTTAATCACTGACTCGGCAACAGCGTCATCCATGCAATCTCTGCTGTCCATGGTGACAAGCTCTGGGAAGTCATCAAGGAAAGGATTCCCCATTCTCTTTATCACATCTGCCAAATTGTTCACTTGTTGCTTAAAAGTCTTTTGTGCACTTAGTCCCATTTCATGATTTGTACGGTCAGTAGACTCCTCACTGTTTAATAGATATTGCTCCTCAAATTGATGCAAAATTCTTGTTGTCTCAGGGCCTGAAAGCATCCATCGTCTGGAAAAGGAACAAAATAAAACTTAATTCAGTATTACCAGTCTTATTTATAAATGGTCTCTCATTTTACCGTGGTGTGTTTCCATACATTTTTTCCAGCTGTGTTTATACTGCAATCCGTAAATATAACTCTTCGATGCTTTTTTATGTAAAGACCTTTTTTAAAAATTTTTGGTAATACAGTATGAGGTGTATGATTTTCATTATTAGATTTCTATACTCACCTAAAGGCTACAGGGTTCTCTGTAAGACCAACTGCACCACCTGCACTCTTGATCACCTTGTTCTCCTGCTCATGGGCCTGATCAAAGGGGATAGCGGAAAATCTGTTCCCTGTCTTAGACAAAACCCAGTGGCCTTGCCTCTGGAACTCCCGTGCAATGCTCAGTGGAAGAGACTTCATATCACGTATATGGATAGGTGTCCAACGTGCATAGTTTACGTGATCAAGAGCAAAGAATAAAGGTACAAGATCTTCCAGGGCCTCGACATACAAATTGAAGTTATGTTGACGCTGTGCACGTACAACTAGTAACACAAGTGTCTCGTACTCTATGATGGAGTCCCAGAAAAGAAACGTCGGGCTTCTCCTCTTCCTCACTTCCTCCCATGTAGACATTGATGTCTCATCTAAGCACTGGGAAAATGCCTCTCTCTTTAGTTTGTTCAGAGCCAGAGCGGTAACTTGATGGGCATGCCTGAAAAAAAAAATCATATTGCCGTTCCCAAATAGCTGTAATTGTGACTAAAACAAGGGGGTTTTTCTCAGCAGCTCCCTAATTTTAGGCACAATTAAAAACAAGTTTCGTTTGGTACAAAACACCAGACTCCACTAAACTTTTCACTCGCAGAAAAATTAAATAATAGCTTAATGATTAAGCTTTACTGATATCACTCATTCTTATGACCACCTGGTGAGTGTTCACAGTCACTATTATTGTTCTCACTTCGCCCTACCTTGTTCTTGTTAAATGCGTTGCTTTAAGGAAGGAATCCGCCACACCAAATGAGGCGACTTCAGCTTCACTAAGAGCGGTAGTCCAGCCTGATTTATCCAGCAAATCACCAACCGTACTCCATAGTGCCATTTCAATGTGCAGACCACCTAGCATGACGACATACGCTTGCTCTCCATGGGAGACAGGCCACTTCCACTGAACCAACTTCGCCAAAGCAAAAAGGGGCTGGTCAACGGTGATGACAGGAACCTGATTTGGGTTGAGAAAGGTTATAGCTTGCCGCAAGACATCCATACCATGCTTCACCATCGCTGGGGTAGCTGCCTTCTCATAGAACAGGGGAAGTAGCGCGGTCAAGGCAGGTGGGTGCTCTTCAGTCTGGGTTGAGGCGTGATATGCAGCCCAAGTCACTGTATCACTAGAAGAAATGGATACTTCCTCCAATTTTCGTAGAGAATGCTCCACCCAAGTTACTTCCGTTTGTTTCTCTGTAGCCATACAACTTACTGATTCCGTCATTACACACACTGGGACAACTGCTTTACTAGGATCTAGCTCTACTGGGTGAACCGTAGCGTATTCCTTTGGAAGCACGTGTCCTGTCCCTTGAGGTGGTAGAGTTACTGGCAGTCTTTCCTCGCCAGGATTATTGGTTGTTGGTAACTGAAACACGCTAATACCGGTGCCATGGAACGAAGAAGCTGCCGTCGTAGAAGATGGATTGTGATCTATGTTGTCAAGAGCTCCTATAGTAAAAATTCCCTTTCTGAGGCAAGCAGGTACCACACAGCCATCCATTTCAAAGCGCTCACTAATAGAGATAGCAAGCATGTCCTCCAATTCTATGATCCTTTGGTAAGACACTGAGATCCCCATCTGATACAGCTTTGCTATTAGTGTCTTGCTCCTCGTCAATGCATACACATTGAACCCAATGTACAAAGGAAGAGGTGGTTCCCGTGATTTAGTATGCCGTGTCTGTCCAGTTTTTGACTTTGTGGTTGGTCGCTCTTTGGCATTGAAAAAGATTGTCTGGCACACTGTTAAACATGCCTGTGATTCTTGCACTTCAGTATTCTCAATGTTTATGCCAGTTAATATCATCGACACCAAAGACTTTAGACTAGCAGGGACTGAACATTCTTGGCAGTCTTCCGTAAAATTTCCAGAAAATTGAAAGCCTTTGTGACTAAAAATGTCTTTGCGCACAATTGCTGAAGCTTTAGCTAAAATCACAGCATCCTCTGAGAAGTCTCTTTGCTGCATTGCCTCTTTGACCATGCTCTGGATAGCTTTCGGGAATATTATGACAACATTTCTGCCATCATTTTGCTCTTGAGCTTCTGGGAAGTTTTCCAGTAACGAAGTTTTAAGTCTAGTTTTGTTTACATTTTTTTGAACGCCTAAGGTTTCAAGCCGCCTTACATATAAAGAATGAAGCTCAGAAAGGAAAAACATCAACTTGTCATTTTCAACGGAAGTCTGTATGTATTCAATCAACTCAATAAAGGCCTGAGACTCCTTTATTCTCTCTTCGTCCATTTCACACGATTCTTGCCGTTTTCTAGATGTGTGGTGCCTGTAACGATTTCGCAGGTCTGTCATACATTTGAGGTGGTATTTTGCATCAGCTGCCACGAGATCAACTCCACAAATTCTAGGCAGAAGCGTACTGTCCTGGAGCTCTGTTATCATTCGGCGGAGCTTCTCATCAGTGGCGAATGTAGAAACTTCATGCAGATGGCCACCCTGACCACACAATATACAGTCGTCTTTACTGTAAGAAGACAGCCTTCGTGTTTTGCAAGCTGGGGCGTCATCATCATCTGGCAGGGATTGTTCTTCTTTTGGTTTACGTGATAGTCTTTCTTTTGCTTTGTTAAGCTTAGACGTACTGAATAGTAAATGACACGACTTGTGCCATGAAGCTTCTTTCTCGAACAAATTATCGGCATCTATGTCCAGAGGAAGGGAAAGAGGGACTGGAAGGGTATTTAATGCGATAAACTCAGAAACATTCTGGATAAATGATCCATAAACAAGCTTAGGATCTGCTCTATCTCCACTAGCTCTTAATGGACACCTTAGCTCTTCTTTTGTTGTTTTCTGACATATAATACAACGATTCCAAGAGAATGCCATTGTTTCTGAAATTTTAAGTGAGTATTATTACAATTATGTATCACCTGTTATTGTTTTAATCTAAAAAAAAGTACGTAAGATTTTACACTTTTTCCCATTACTTGTAAATATATATATATATACACATGTTTACTCCTCTTAAATGCACACCATAGTGACCAACTCGAACGCCTGAGCTACTTTGCCGTGTGTTCTTGCAAAACAAAAAATCTGAATCTGAATCTGAACCTGAATCGCGCTGGCCAAACGATCACAAAAAATGCTTTCTAAAGGCAAATCAAGTAGTCAAACGCTTAAAAATAATCTATAACTATGAAACGAAAGTTTCTCGACAGAAAAAACTATATTTTAAAAAGAAAGAATAGCATATCAAAGGCAGGATACTTACAGATTCTGCAGATAAGCATGGACGCCGCCATCTTGGAAATGACTTATGGAAGAAGGGGACTGGGTACCAGCATCATAGATTAATATCCAAAAATAGCTTATTTGAACAAATATACTTTAAGTTGCGGATAGGATTGATAGATATACAACTGAAATTGTTGTGTACAACATGAGAACGGTATTCTTAGTGATTTATGGTATTAAATAGGAATTTTCTGTACGAAAACCACAGGACACCCAGCAAGTGAAATTTTCAAAACTTTAATCCCCTAAATTTATCGTCATAGGCATATCTGCGATGGGCACCCCCTCTAATATTTATAGTAATGCTATAAGCTATAACTGTGCAAAGTTTGGTGCTTTTGTCAACTCTGTAACGATCTTGATGCTAAGAGACCTGACTATGACACACGTTATATAACATAACATAACATATGTTATATAACATAACATATTTTATGTTATATAACATAACATGACAAATGTTATATAACATAACATGACACACGTTATATAACATAACATAACATATGTTATATAACATAACATATTTTATGTTATATAACATAACATGACAAATGTTATATAACATAACATGACACACGTTATATAACATAACATATGTTATATAACATAACATATTTTATGTTATATAACATAACATGACAAATGTTATATAACATAACATGACACACGTTATATATCATAACATGACACACTTTATATAACATGACACATGTTATATAACATAACATGACACATATTGTATAACATAATGTTATAAAACATAACATATTTTATGTTATATAACATAACATGACATATGTTACATAAAATAACATGACAAATGTTATATAACATAACATATTTTATGTTATATAACATAACATGACTTCTCTATTTTTTACGTCAACTCAAGGGATCCGGAGTGGCACCAAGTGAACTGGTACAATTCTATGTGACACGTATTAGGCCCGTCCTGGAATACGCAAGTCCTGTATTCCATCGTTCTCTACCAAACTACATCAGTGAAGATTTGGAACGGATCCAAAGAAGGGCTTTCAGAATCATCTATCCTGACCTGTCATATAGTGTAGCACTAGAAACAGTTGGCCTACCGAAACTTCATGAGAGGAGAGAAAAAATTTCAATCGATCTGTTTGACAAGATCGTCTGTAACCCCACCCACAGTCTCCATAGCCTCCTCCCCCAAAGGAAGAGTTGTAAATATGCTCTGAGACGCAAAAGTGATTTCACTCTCCCCCTATGTAAAACCGAGCGTTTGAAGAAAAGTTTTATTTTTAGCCATGTCTATAAGATGTAGATAATTTTTTTTATTTTCTCTTTGTGATCACCAGTATTTGTAAATATCACGTAATTCAGCCTATGGCTGCAATGGTGTTTATAATAAAGTATCTATCTCAAAACATAACATATGTTATATAACATAAAATAACAGAACACATGTTGTATAACATAATGTTATATAACATCGTTTTGGTCAAAAATTTGAGATTACTTCAACTTTGATTTTTATGCAAAATAGACCAAGAAAAAGTATCTGGGAACGTTCTAGTAAGAAAAAAGTTTCCATAATCCTTTGTAACCCCTGTAACTCCTTGTCACCCCCTGTCACCCCTTGTAACCCCCTGTAACCCCTTGTAACCCCCTGTAACCCTTTATAACCCCTCGTAACCCCCTGTAACCCCCTGTAACTCCTTGTAACCCCTCGTATTCCCATGTCATAGATCGTGAAAATAAATCGTGAAAAAGCGATTTTCGACGTTTTATATAGCAAACAAGCCTTTCTGAACAACAAAAACATTGGTTTCAAAAACGCACAAAATTGGCATTTTTGCAAAGCGTTTTGCTCAAAATTTGGAAATTTTGTGAACGTTTCGTTTTATGCAAAATACACCCAGAAAAAGTATTTGGTGACGTTCTCGTTAGAAAACAAGCCTTTCTAGACAATATAAACATGGATTTAAAAAAAAGGCAAAATTGGCATTTTTGCAAACGGGATAGTCCATGATTTTGGTCAAAAAGTTGAAGTTTTTTTCATCTTTTGTGTTTATCAAAAATAGATCGAGAAAAAGTGTTTGCTCCCGTTCTAGATAAAAAAAAAGCCTTTAAAGACTATAAAAACAACTGTGTACAAAAAACGCAAAATTAGAATTTTTCCAAAGGGGTTAATCCATCGTTTTGGTCAAATATTTGAGATTTCTTCAACTTTGATTTTTAGGCAAAATAAACCAAGAAAAAGTGTCTGAAAACGTTCTAGTTAGAAAAAAGTTTCTATAATCCTCTGTAACCCCTGTAACCCCTTTTCACCTCATGTCACCCATTGTAACCCCTTGTAACCCATTGTAACCCATTGTAACCCCCTGAAACCCCCTGTAACCCCTTGTAACCCCTTGTAACCCCCTGTAACCCCCTGTAACCCAGTGTAACCCCTTGTAACCCCTCGTATTCCAATGTCATAGATCGTGAAAATAAATCGGGAAAAAGCGATTTTCGACGTTTTATATAGCAAACAAGCCTTTCTGAACAACAAAAACATCGGATTCAAAAACGCACAAAATTGGCATTTTTGCAAAGGGGTTAGTCTATGGTTTTGGTCAAAAATTGGAAATTTTGTCAACGTTTCGTTTTATGCAAAATACACCCAGAAAAAGTATTTGGTGACGTTCTCGTTAGAAAACAAGCCTTTCTAGAAAATATAAACATGGATTTAAAAAGAAGGCAAGATTGGCATTTTTGCAAAGGGGATAGTCTATGATTTTGGTCAAAAAGTTGAGGTTTTTTTCATCTTTTGTGTTTATCAAAAATAGATCGAGAAAAAGTGTTTGCTGCCGTTCTAGATAAAAAAGTAGCCTTTAAAGACTATAAAAACAACTGTGTACAAAAAACGCTAAATTAGAATTTTTCCAAAGGGGTTAGTCCATCCTTTTGGTAAAATATTTGAGATTTCTTCAACTTTGATTTTTTATGCAAAATAAACCAAGAAAAAGTATCTGAGAACGTTCTAGTGATAAAAAAGTTTCTATAATCCTTTGTAACCCCCTGTAACCCCTTAAAACCCCCATTTAACCCCATGTAACCCCCTGTAACCCCTTGAAACCCCTTGTAACCCCCTATAACCCCTTGAAACCCCTTGTAACCCCCTGTAACCCCTTGAAACCCCTTGTAACCCCCTGTAACCCCTTGTACCCCCCTGTATTCCCATGTCATAGATCGTGAAAATAAATCGTGAAAAAGCGATTTTCGACGTTTTATATAGCAAACAAGCCTTTCTGAACAACAAAAACATCGGTTTCAAAAACACACAAAATTGGCATTTTTGCAAAGGGGTTAGTCCATGGTTTTGCTCAAAAATTGAAACTTTTGTCAACGTTTGTGAACGTTTCGTTTTATGCAAAATACACCCAGAAAAAGTATTTGGTGACGTTCTCGTTAGAAAACAAGCCTTTCTAGACAATATAAACATGGATTTAAAAAGAAGGCAAAATTGGCATTTTTGCAAACGGGATAGTCCATGATTTTGGTGAAAAAGTTGAAGTTTTTTTTTATCTTTTGTCTTTATCAAAAATAGATCGAGAAAAAGTGTTTGCTGCCGTTCTAGATAAAAAGGAAGCCTTTAAAGGCTATTAAAACAACTGTGTAAAAAAAACGCAAAATTAGAATTTTTCCAAAGGGGTTAGTCCATCGTTTTGGTCAAAAATTTGAGATTTCTTCAACTTTGATTTTTATGCAAAATAAACTAAGAAAAAGTGTCTGGGAACGTTCTAGTGATAAAAAAGTTTCCATAATCCTTTGTAACCCCCTGTAACTCCTTATCACCCCCTGTCACCCCTTCTAACCCCTTGTAACCCCCTGTAACCCCTTGTAACCACTTGTAACCCCTTGTAACCCCCTGTAACCCCCTGTAACCCCTTGTAACCCCTCGTATTCCAATGTCATAGATCGTGTAAATAAATCGTGAAAAAGCGATTTCCGACGTTTTATATAGCAAACAAGCCTTTCTGAACAACAAAAACATCGGTTTGAAAAACGCACAAAATTGGCGTTTTTGCAAAGGGGTTAGTCCATGGTTTTGCTCAAAAATTGGAAATTTTGTCAACGTTTCGTTTTATGCAAAATACACCCAGAAAAAGTATTTGGTAACGTTCTCGTTAGAAAACAAGCCTTTCTAGACAATATAAACATGGATTTAAAAAGAAGGCAAAATTGGCATTTTTGCAAAGGGGATAGTCCATGATTTTGGTCAAAAAGTTGAAGTTTTTTCATCTTTTGTGTTTATCAAAAATAGATCGAGAAAAAGTGTTTGCTGACGTTCTAGATAAAAAAGAAGCCTTTAAAGACTATAAAAACGACTGTGTACGAAAAACGCAAAATTACAATTTTCCCAAAGGGGTTAGTCCATCGTTTTGGTCAAAAATTTGATTTTTCTTTAACTGTGATTTTTTTGCAAAATAAACCAAGAAAAAGTATCTGGGAACGTTCTAGTTAGAAAAAAGTTTCTATAATCCTTTGTAACCCCCTGTAACTCCTTGTCACCCCCTGTCACACGTTGTAACCCCTTGTAACCCCCTGTAACCCCTTGTAACCCTTTG